TTAACGAGCAGTTGGACAGGTGTACCTAATAAAGTGGCCGGTGAGTGTAGAGTAACCTGAAAAATCTATAGAAATGGAACATGAAATAAACCATAATATCAGAGAAATTACATAATATGAATGATGTAAAAATCAGTTTCCTGATTAATTCACTCTGATCGCATTAATGTTTTCCCAACCTGAACCAGTTTAATGAATGAGTCATGAAATGTCTAAACTTACAACTTGTGAAAAAAAGTACAATAGCTATTTTTTACTTTCTTAACTTTCTTGAAATGTCCAAGTCTGCTGAACTACAGAAGTCTCTGAGGTTCAGTTCTTCATAAATGATTACGGAGAACAAGACTGAAGCCTGATTTTCTGCTCATTAGTTCCTGCAGAAGAGTTACAGTTCCTGTAATTGGTTCAGGAAACAGATTCCAGATCAGATCTGCGTTGCATGCTTGGGTAGCTCCAGTCAATGGTCTTATGTGTGCAATGCTTAAGACAACAGAAGAGTTTTTGGCAAACAACTATGCGCTTTTCTTTTCTTTCCTCATTGCCTTTCTGGTCACATTCACCATTCACTGTCTACTTTTGTTATCCTGTTTTGGTACACTGAAGTGACTGAACAGTTTTTTTAACATTTCCACAACATACTTTAAGTTCTTAAAAGGTTTTACACAAAACTAGTTACATATGTATAGAACCAAACTGAAATGACTAGATCCAATATTTACAAGGCCAGATTTTCTTTGAGATTTCAACTGCAGCTTTAATACTAAAAGAGAAAAAAATAGCTAGCCCTGATAATACTAATTAAATATTGTTTGAAGATTTTGAAAAACAGCCCCCTCATCCCACAAAAAATGGGAAGACATGATTATTTCTTTGCCTCATCCTTTGCATATTTTTTTGCCACGGTCCTGTTTGGATCTGTCCATTTGATTCATTTTAAATTGTAAAGAACCCTCTCCTCTATGAGATTAATACCAGCTTAACCCCATAAAGTCATGTTCCACAAGATCTTGCAAGATATGAAATCAGATAT